GAAGTTAGTACTCTCACTCGACTATGGCGGCTCACCGTTGCGGTAGCGGCTTGAATCTTCATTTCTTTCTTCTGGTCGGGCACACGTTCATAGGAGCCTTGTCGCGTTGAAAGTGTCTTGCGTCTTCGAGGTTCACTGCGCTCCCCCTAGGTCTTCTCCCATTCCCCGTGAACCTGTCCACGTAGCTTTGCGAAGCATGAATATACGTGGCTTGGCGATAGGCGCGCGCGCCGCGCGGGCGCGCGCGTGGGGACGACTTCGGGTGTCCGTGGGCCTATGGCGGGGTCTCAGAGCTTCATCTTTCAGACTTGCTCGCGATGGCCTCCAGTTCCTTCATGGGGGGCGTGGGTGGGCGGAGTAGCGCTTACCGGAAGGCGCCGGCGCCAGCCTCGTTCCCTTTCCTGTACCTCGGCAGGACAATCTTCATTCTTAAAAAAAAAATAAAAAAATTCAGATCACAGATGCGCCCCGGCCCTGTCAGTCCTAGTTTTCCCCTTCTGATTTCTTCATTTTCAGTTTCGTTCTCCTGTCCTGTGGTTCCCTATTGTATGATCAGTGGCAAGGCCTCTTCTATGCATGTCCTCTCTCCCTTCTCGTGCATGATTGGTGGATGCCTCATGCATTCTGCTACTGGCTATGTATGTGATGATCTCCCTGTCATCGTCATGTCACTGTGTGTGTGTGCGTGTATGTGTTGCAGTCTGTACATGCATGTTTGTGATTTGTTTACACAACTTGACACATGTTAAGGCAATCATGATTGGCATTGTTATGACCTCAATTCATGTGGATGTGCCTGTTTCTGTGTCATTGGCTGGCTGCAGGTTGATGTATGATCCTTTTCAACATATCATATATGATTATGTTGGCGGTGTACGGGATCTTCAGCGGCCAACGGTAATGTGGCAGCCGTGAAACACATGGGTTTTATAAATGGTGATTCTCCTTGCAAAGAGCAATGTAGTCTGCTGTGGTCTTCACCGACTCCTCAGAGAGTGGGAAGAAAAAAGCAAAAGCAAAACAACACTGAATAAAGCATGACACGATAGTTTTAACCTTGAAGCCTTGTAGGGATTCTCCATCTCAAGGAAAATCTTACAGGCATTCTTCATCTCAAGGAAAATCTTACAGGCATTCTTCATCTCAAGGAAAATCTTACATGCATTCTTCATCTCAAGGAAAACCTGGCAGGCATTCTTCCTCTCAAGGAAAAGGCTACTGCTCAATGTCAGTCCTAGACTGCTTGTTTGGTGTTGTGTAAATGCAGTTGCGGACACATGTCCAAGAGCGCAAAGTACTACAATGAAATGATTCACACGCCTCAGACTTTCGGTCGTGGTACCGCATCCGATTTTCTTTTCAATTGTAGGACTGAACGTAGAACTTTCCAGTCAGCGAATATAGAGATCGGGTAGGACAAGGCTGTGTGAACAGTAGAAGTCCCTAGCAGTCAGTCGGCAGAGGGGCACCACATGTCAAGTCCAGGTTAGGTCGCAGCTCAGTCCCAGGAAGGGCCTAGGAAGGTCCAAATTGTTGTCAGCTGTGGCACTCGCCCCACACATGTGGACTTCGGCGGAGTCCGGAGACATCGAGGGGGTTGGGCATTTACAGAACGCCATACCCAAAATTTCATCAAAATTTGGCCCTGTTTTGGATTTTCAATTTCATTCAAAACACAAAATATGTTTGTTTTGACGAAGTCGGTGTCACATAGAGTAGAAGACCTCCAAAATGTTTGACCGGTGTGGAATGGGAACATACAGGATTTAGTAACATGAAGCAGGGTTTTAGGAAGCAGATACGAAAGGGGACAAAGACACTGTGACGAAATGGTGGCACGCGGCCTGAGAGACTGCTAGGAACACCCCTCCATGCCCCGCCCTTCTTGGGATTCCTCTGCTGCATGGCTGGGTGCTGCCAGTAAGCTTCCCGACCAGCAGGGGAACCCTCGAAGAAGGGTCATTGTTTGGGGGGTGGGACGCTCCGTAGCAGCCTCCTCCTTGGTCAGGTGGCTAGTGCCTCAAAGGCAAGGCTGGTCTTAGGTCTCTTCCCCCACCTTCTGTGCTAATGGAAACATGCTTGCCGGTGATAAGCAACTGGACTGATGCCTCCCAGAATAGAAGGGGTATTATTTCCTTGACCAAAAAAAAAAAAAAAGCGGCTTGTCCTATTCAATGAATCATCTAGACTTAACTGCCCGCTGCAGGTCAGACTTAACTCTGCTCCCATACCAACTGATGCATGCCTGGAGTGAGCCGTCGGCAAATGTAAGTCCAAAGATTGCCAAGAGGAGGAATAGATATACAATGTGACACTGCAAAAGACTCAAATCACATAAGACTGACTGACAATGCAGCGGAGATCACAATTTGACTCAAATCCAAACTCACACCCAGCAGCAGGTAATCATACAAAGACGAAGTGCAAGGAGGGAGATGGAGGAATGGAGGAGCAAGAGGAGAAGAAGAAGAAGAAGACCCAGATATATGGCAGGGCTAAATAATAATAGTCTCTCCTCAGCCTCTCTTCGCCAAGCTCCTGTACGCTCTCAAGAATGAATCTAAGATCTCGAGTCTGCGAGCCTGGCTCCCTGAAGTACCAAAGTCAAGTCTCTCTCTCTCTCTCTCTCTCTCTCTCTCTCTCTCTCTCTCTC